CATTTTCACATTTCGCGATTTCACTTTAATTTGAGGTGAGCAATGATTTCGGACATTCATAAATTATGAATCCATGCCTGCACATTCACTTTGGAACCATGCCTACACATTCCCGTCTGAAACCATGGCTGCTCCTCTGTAGCGCAAGCTTCTTCAACATTCATAAATTATGAATTTTCTGTTATGAGATTATAAATTTTCTGTTATAAGATTATGAATTTTCTGTTATGAGATTATGAATTTAACGTAAATTCATAATCTAATAACAGAAAATTCATAATTAAATAAATGTTTTTCTTTTATGTGATTATGAATTTTCTGTTATGAGATTATGAATTTTTCGTACATTCATAATCTCATAACAGAAAATTCATAATCTGACCAAACTCGCGCCGTTAACACCACATTAGCGATTTTTTTTTTTAACATAAAAACGACGCCGTTTGGACCCGTGTTCACCATGGGATTTCAACCAAACAAAAGAATTTTGTGGCTTTTGGAATTAGGTGGGAATTAAGTGGGAAGAGAATTTAAATTCCCTTCAACCAAACATCCTGTAAGTATTCAAATTTTATGGGAGGAAAAAAAATGAATGGATAAAAGTCATGACCGCTCCTATTAAGCAATTAAAGCATGTCAGAGTAAAAAATAGGAGTATATAACTCTTTGAAGAATATTCTGTGCTAGTTTCATTGTTAAAATTTTTATTAATATTTCCTTTTACCTTACTGACCATAGTAAATTAATTTTCGCGTGCGAGGTGAGTTGTGTGGTGCATGGGATTTTTCTTTAGCAATATTATATACTATAAATAAATTTTTTTGAAGACTGCTATAAATAAATTTTAAACTTTAGAAATGTTTATGTATTTTAAATTTTTGTTCACAAATTAAATTTCAAATGTTACTTTATGCAAAAATAATATAATAATACTATTAAAAGTTAATATCATATGATATTGAGTTATTGACAAAGACAACTCAATACCAACTTTATGGCAAAGAGTTGGTGAGAGCTTGGAAAATTGGTTTTTAAAGTTCCTAAGCATAAATGACAACTAATCGAGTAATTAATTCATGCCAAGTTTAAATATAGCTAATGATCTTGTGGCCTTGTCTAGTGGCCCGAAGTGACTCTCGCAAATGGGATTAATTAAACTATTTGTGCAGGTAAGCCCGGAGCATTTGGGAGAGGGAATATTTGTAATTGATTTTGATAATATAGAAGGAGATGTATAGGCACTTTAATCCACAATTATACGAATGTTGTGGGCATTAGCAGAGGTGGCCAAAATTTTCATGCTTAATACGTAACGTTGCATTTAACCTCATGTTTCACGTCATCAAGGTAACACAAATTGAAAAAGTACATGAATCTTGAATGCAAGATTTAGAATGCAAGACTGCCCATGCCGTCCGCCACCACGATTCTAGCCACGACCCGGAGCAGTATACAAGGACGTGTGCGACGCCGTTCCATCCGCCTTCGGGTAATCATCCACGAGGATGAACTCGTGGGCCTGCAAAAAATCCGAGAGGTGAGAAAGAGTCACCGGATTCCAGCGACGCGGTGGGTTCCAAGCAACACGTGGACTGTAGTCGCTTATGGGTGGCGCTGAGATTGGGCTATATGCTCAACCATGACCTTTGGTCTGGCTCTGATACCCCCACGTGTGCGGTGGGTTCCAAAGGTCTGGCTCTGATACCAAATCAACACGCCCCCTCACGTGTGCGGTGGCACTGAGATTCGGCTATATGCTCAACCATACCAAATCAACACGCTCCCTCACGTGTGCGGCGGTGGCGCTGAGATTCCATGACCTTTGGTCTGGCTCTGATACCAAATTGAAGCATGTTGCACGTTAATAGCTATATGCTCAACACGCCCCCTCACGTGTGCGGTGGGTTCCAAGCAACACGTGGACCGTAGTCGCTTATGGGTGGCGATGAGATTCGAACTCATGACCTTTGGTCTGGCTCTGATACCAAATTGAAGCATGTGTTTCATCTCACCTAAAAGCCTAAGCTAATAGTTAGATTGCACGTTAATGGCTATATGCTCAACACGCCCCCTCACGTGTGCGGTGGGTTCCAAGCAACACGTGGACCGTAGTCGCTTATGGGTGGCGCTGAGATTCGAACCCATGACCTTTGGTCTGGCTCTGATACCAGATTAGAGAAGGTGAATCGATCATTAACTGAAGAATAGGAAATACAGAGTTATATCCTATAACAAAGACTATCCTATGCCTGAGTAATAGCATCTAACTATAACTACTGTAGACTATTCTATTACCACATAAATACAATCATAGACTATACAAATAATAATATGGAAATAATAGCTATAATAGTACAAAACATAATGGTCTTCGAAAAACAACATTCTTCAAATCACATCACCTATCCAATATCAGATCATCCTGTTAAAAAAATGATTAAAAAAATAATTAAGAAAAAGGAAAAAAAAATCACAAACCAGTAATCATACCACTCAACGCTGCCCAATTGCTTCTTCAATACTAATAGACTGAAGTCTATTCTTAAATTGCTGCCACTCAAACAAAAAATTCAACCATTTTAGTTCAATTTGATCAGCATCGAAAAAATTGGCAAGAAATATTTTATCTCCTCCTATCTCTATATAAACATCATGTGGAGTATCTGTAGCACTTGTTATCACATCTGGATCGGTCTCATTATAGGCGTGCATCGCAAATTCCATTAGGTGATAGAGTTGGGAATCAATGGTAACATCGCAAATTCCATTTGCTGCTATTACTGCTTTCAATTTGTTCACTTTCTGTATCTGCAGCAAACGTGGCAGCTAACAATATGTAGATAAATTCTGCAGAATAACATTGGATAACATTAACATTTGAAAACAATTAGGTAAACAAATAAGATAAAAAATGCTAATTACTAAGTATTTCCATCTCAAACACTTTGTGGTGTGTGTATCATGCGTGCGTCGTCCATGCGTGATTCGTGCGTTATGTGATATCAAAGAAAAAAATTCATGATATCAGAGCGATATATATATATATATATATATATATATATATATATATATATATATATATATATATATATATATATATATATATATATATATATATATATATATATATATCAGAGAAAAAAAATTCATGAAAAAAAATTCATGGTATCATCAACTTGTGCAGTGTAGTTTTTGTTGGAATTTACTTGGAGGAAGAGTTTGGATCACGTAATTCATTTCAATCTTATTGTTTTCAATGCATTAGAAAAGTGAGAGGCAACATAATTGTTTCCAATATGTTATGTTAATTTTTATCATGTTATTCTGCAGGATTTATCTACATACTATTAGCTGCCATGTTGGCGGCAGAAAATGGAAAGATAAGCGATAATGGCGGCGATGATGACAGTGCCAACGACGGTAACAATGATAGTGCAGCGATGCCAACAATGACAGTGGCAGTGATGGTAACAATGACAATAGTGGCGCCAGCACTGCCAGCACCAATGTCAGAGATATTCCGTTGGTCATAAGATCACCGAATGGAGGTGAAGATCGACTAATAAATAATATCTATGTTGGAACTAATACGGGGTATACTTCCCTGGCATACGACCTTTGGCACATGGCACGAGTGCCTCAGAAGTTAGAACTACTACCCCAACATATTATAGCCCTAGAACAACTACCCCAACATATTATGGCCCTGGAATGATTACAGGGTCAACTATATGAAAGTGGTTAATATTCAAGAGGTAGCCATGAACCCATGTATGCATGGAAGTGTCGGAACACCATGGGATTAACTTATGGAGGACTTAGAGATAGCGATTTTCGAAGAACTGAATAGGCCTTTGATCCTCATATTACCGAGTGCTGGAATTAACTTCGAAATAGAGTTCTTTGCTTTAAGAAAGTTTCTTACATGCGGTTTAGAGCGATTTTATCACATCATGAAATTTTGTATGTATGCGTACAATACGACTGATCCAATGCAGATAACATATCCGTTAAATGTTCCAAATGATGTTTATATACACATTAATGGTGTTACATTACTTGCCACTTTTTTTATGCTAAATTCCTATGGAACGATATTTGAGAATATACTTGGTTTTATTTGTATTCAACATGTATGGGGTATGAGTGGTATGGTTACAGATAAAAACTATTTTGATTTTTTTATTTTCTTTTTCTTAATCATTTTTTATTTCAACAAGATCTTAGGTGATTCAAAGGCGGTGTGCACGCAAGATTGCAAGGTCTAGGGAAGTTCATTTCAACCACGTCTTCAGAGAAGGAAATAAGGCAGCAGATTGGCTGGCTACGGCGGCGCTCGCCCATCAGATTGGCTACCGTGCGGTCCATGTTGCGCCTCCGGCTCTGAGTGACATTATTAGACATGACAAGCTGGGAGCTTTGTTTCCCAGATGTCCTTGATTTCTTGGGTACCCCCTCCGTTTTGATGTAAAAAAAAAAAAAAAAAAAAAAAAAAAAAAAAAAAAAAAAAAAAAAAAGGCTTGATATTGTTCTTTTAAGACCTTGGGTCTTTTTTGTTATGTTTTTTTTTTTTTTTAAATAGGCTTTGGACCTTGTGATTTGTGGTGACTTTTGGTTTCAATCGAACTGTTAAGCGATTTTTATAATTTTTTTTACCAAACTAGTGATTATTCTATGGACCCGGATCCACATTGCGAGGTGCACTCTGGTCCAAAATACATAATTTACATACTGAAGGTTTACAATTTTGTAAAAAGTAAATTGTTGTGAATATTTAATTTATAAATTGTTTATGTAAATTATAAAACATGTAAGATTGTAATATTCTTAGAATATACTAATAATAATTGTAAACATTCTGCATGAACAAAGGCAGCTAAGGCCCATTGGGCCAGGACGGGTCTAAGACAAGCAGACCCGCTATCGCCATACCTGTTTTTGATGGTCGTTGAGGGTTTAAGCGCCCTAATTGATAACCGTATGAGGCGAGGAATGCTGCACGGGGTCCAAGTAGCGAGGGGAGCACCGCCAATCTCCCATATCCTGTTCGCGGATGATTGCTTCCTCTTTTTGCGTGCCAACACGGAGGAAAGTGCAAACATGAAAGGGATTCTGGATTTGTACACAGGTGCTTCAGGCCAACTGGTGAACTATGATAAGTCACTAAGTGTGTTTTAGTACCAATACCGATCAGGCTAGCAGAACTGCAGTGATTAACGTTCTCAGCGTCAAGCAGGGGGATCAGGGGATACGACGGGGAAGTATTTGGGGTTGCCTTCTTTAGTTGGGAAGAACAAGAAGGCAATTTTGGGTTTTGTAAAAGACCGCATTCTGTCTTGGGTTCGAGGGTGGAATACCTGATTTTTATCTAGGGCTGGCCATGAAGTGTTACTAAAAAATGTACTGCAAGCTTTGCCTAGTTATGCTATGATGATTTTTTCTTTGTCTATAACCTTGTGCAGGGAGATTGAGGTTATTCTAAATCACTTTTGGTGGACTGGCAAAGTGGCGAGGAGATTGGGGATTCGGTGGAAAGCGTGGAAAGCACTGTGTACCAAAATCAAAAGGTGGCTTGGGGTTTATGACCTTAAGGGAGATGAACCTGGCACGCAGACTTGGCGGCTGCTAACAAGGCCGGACTCGCTGGTTGAACGGGTGTTCAAGAGCAGGTATTATCCGAATTCTGATCTTATGAACGCTGTCGGGCATAACCCTTTGTTTATTTGGCGAAGTATAGTTGAGGTAAATAATGCAGTAAAACAATGGTATCGGGGTAGCATTGGTGACGAAAGATCCACTACAATTGGGAAGGATATGTGGCTTGTGATGGCAGAGGACCCATATGTGAGTACACACCTGCATGAATCCGTAAGGGAGGCTCCGGTGAGCTCATTGATGAATGGGGTTGGGACTTCATGGGACCGAGACTGTATCATTGATGTTTTCAATGCCAGGGATGCAAACTGCATTCTTAATATTCCGGTAAGTTCACAGACGCCCTAAGGATGCATGGGAAGTTCACGACGCCCTAAGGATGCATGGGTTTGGAAAGGGGATTCTAAGGGGACCTATACTGTGAAGTTATGTTATAAGATGCTAGTAGGGGAGGTGCAATCTGATCCATCTTGGAACCGGATTTGGCATCTACAGGTACCACCCAAGGTTCGGGTCTTCGCTTGGAAACTAGCAATGTCGTACTCCCTTGTGCTTTGTCCATGAAGACATGTATGGTACACTGCAATATGTGTGGAGGTGTGGATGAAATGAATGCACACTTGTTCCGAGACTGCCTACATGCTCGTGCAATCTGGACTACGTTACAACTGACAACTTTGATGCATGATCAAGGTAATACCACCGACTGGTTTTTTGAGCTTTTAATGTGCCTGAAAGATGATTTCCAGTGCAAGTTTGTAATGGTGTGTTGGGCACTGTGGGCAAGCAGAAACGCAACTGTATGACGAGGGGAGCAATTCGATAGGGACAGAGTTCTGCGTGACGCTACTGGGAGAACTAGAAATCGGTGCAGTTGGAGGCGGTGCAGTTGGAGGGTAATGGCGTGCAACATGTACAGAATGATCCGGCTAGATGCTCACCACCGGAGGCTGGAAGGATGATGCTGAACACCAACGCCGCTCACGCGATGGGATTGGGGTGGGTGTTGCATGAAGACGGTGGGCACTGCTTGGCTGCGAAGAGTGTGCAGATTCAAGGGCAGTAGACATTGAAGCCGAGGTGCTATGTATGCACTGAGGCGCTATCTTGGTTACTCATATGGGTATGGGTGCTATCTTGGTTACTCATATGGGTATGGGTGAAGTTGATGTATAAACAGATTCCCAGTTGTGTTTTAATGCGCTGAGGTCTGAGTCTTTCTTTTTTGCATTTGGTTTTTTAACGGGGTTAACTTTGCACTGCAATCTGCGAATCGTGCAGCCCATGCATTACCGCTCCATTAGCTAGGGGAGTCTGTGCCACGTACAGGGAGTGGTTAGATGGACCACCCTACTTTTTGGTTCCAATTCTTGACTATGATTTAATGAATTGAGTTCTGTTTTCCACAAAAAAAAAAAAAAAAAGTAAAATGATAATATTGACAATAAATATGTATTTGATGATAAACATTTACCTGATAACTAGTCCGTGAAGGATGGATATAAAAGTCTAGGCTTAATAACGTCTAACGACCCCTCCTAGTACTGTATGGAATAATGTATGGAAGCTGCAGGTACCCTCAAATGGAAATCCTTCCTTTGGAGAGCCCTCTCCTCCATTCTACCCACAGCCACAAATTTGATTAGAAGAAAGGTAGAGGTCTCACATATTTATGCCCATCTGATCTTGTGGTCTAGGTGTGGAGGATACCATGCATGTCTTGTGCTCTGATCTTGTTCATATGCAAAGCGTGTGTGGGATGTCTCTAATTTGCCAATTCAATTCCTCATATTAATGGTGATGATTTTATGCAGTGGGTGGCTTCATGATTGGACAACTCAGCAGGTGGATCGTGTGACACAAGTGAGAAAATATGTGGTCTTTTACATGAATTGTGGAAGGCAAGAATTGAAATCATGTTGTTTGGGCTGGATATTTGCCGTCTCAGCAGCTGAGGTCTCATGCTATGTAGACGCCGGTTTTCACAATCCACATAATGCTATGTAGACGCCGGCTTGGCTTCATATATTTTGATCCTGGCAATTAGGCAATGGTGATTTTATTTTTTATTTTGTTGTGTAATGAGGGAAATCCACCGTAACCCTACTAATTGAGTATATATTGGATAAGCTCTGCGCTTTTATGTAATAACTTTCAAATTATACTGGAGATATAAATCACCCAATAAAACATTCTAATACTGTGATTTTAATATTTTATTAGTAGGAATGTACCATTTTCTTTCAGTTAGACTTTACTACCAAATGTCAACTACCACTATTTGTACGCCATTTTCTTGTCATTATTTATTTAAAAAATTACAACTCGAACAAAATTATTATATTTGAGGAGCTTCAGGCTTTGGTTTGACAAGCTAACTGTTGATGTTTGTTAATTAATAACTATAGTTTATATAGAAAATAAAATAGCATTTTTCATCATTATATTTATATGAAATAATAATTTTAATTTAGCCACTTAATAATTAATCGACTATCTAATTTTTCACAATGTGACAATGTTGGTTCCTCACCAACATAAAAAAATCTATCACATTTGCATTACACATGTGAGAGATGTTAGTCAACATAGAGACAAATAAATTTGTAATTTTCAATTCTAGACACTATTATAGTCTCAATTAATAGATTGAGAATCAAAATCAGAAAATTGTGCCAATGATCTTGTGGTCTAGTGGCACGAAGTGACTCTCTCATTATCAAATGAGATATCATGGGTTCGATCTGAGTCAGTAGTACAAAAAAAAAAATGGTAATGCTCCCATCAATAATTGAAGAACAGAAATTACTATTTTGAATAAATATAATAACAAAGAGTACATATATTATTGGTTGAATTATTGAAGCAAAGCTTAATTTATTGGAATTAGCAAAAAGTTTTGCTGTATAGTGCTATTGAGTCAACCCCAAGTGCAACGTCAAAACTCAAAATGAAGGTGGTAATCATGATTAGGATTAAATAATGATTTGAGTAGGTGGTCACTTGACAGTCAATATCAGCAATTGTTTGACTTGTGGAATGGCAGTATAGTCCACCTTTGTTTGGTAGAAATGATAATCATAGTAAATTGAATTAATGTAGTTTTAAGAAAAGGTATTTATTTTACCAGAAATATGTGGTCTAATGGTACCCGGATTGGACTTTCATTTGAAAGGTTATGAGTTTGAGCCTCAGTGAAGATAAACAGATACTACAACGTAATAGCGTCAGTAACATTCAAAAACGAAAAGGTATTTATTTGACTTTCATTTTCTTATTCGGGCGTTTTTGTCTTTTCATTAAGTTGACCACATAAACCATTCGACAATTCAAAAAAATACAATTATGTTATTCAACTTTTTTAAAAAAATTAAAATATGCCATTAAATTCCACACACACACACAAAAAAAAAAAAAAAAATGCAATTAAGCCACTTTGACATATTTTTATAGATAAACAAAGGTTGCTATGACAACCAAGTTTTTTTTTTTTTTTTTAATAAGAATAATTATAAGTTTTTATTTGTAATAATAATATTAATATGCTAGCTAGTAGGCATATATCAATTATAGAACAAGTTTACAATGCCCTAAATTAAAATGTGATGTATTTTCTAAAGTTGTACTTTCACCCCTTCTTATATACATTTGACAAAACACAATATACAACTTTATAAATATAGTAAGTTTTAACATGCTAGAAGAATCAAGTAGTGACCCTCCACTTGTTCTCTTTGATTCTTTTTGTAGGGTTCAAAGTGTAACTTTAATTTGATTATAAATTGCAACTCCTTTGATATAGTAATTCTACAATTTAATTTTATCTTCCCATCTCCATAATTAAATTAAAAAAAAAAAAAAAAAAAAAAAAAAACAAGAGCCTCAAAAAGAATGATCGAATAGGTTAGGGATGTCAATGAGGACCGCCTCACCGCGGACTTTTTTATTCATGTGCCTTTACGGGCTGTCCCGCAAACTAGGATTATGCAACCCTAGCCCACCTCATGTGGGCTCGTAGGCCTCGTGGGTCAGCTCAAGGGCTAACTTCTAAACTTAAAAAAAAAAAAATTATGATACTATAATTCTATATTCTAATAATTTAAACTAAATAATATTAGATTTTTCCGTGTTTAAAAATTAAAATATTCTAATAATTTAAACTATATATGTGTGTGTGTGTGCGCGCGCGTGGGGGGGGGGGGGGGTTGGCCCTTGGCCCGTATTTTTGCAGGCCAAAATTTCTAGGCCCTAACCTGCCCCACTGTAGGTGGTTTAGAGTTGGCCCCCAAGCTTTGTCCTACCTTTACACCTCTGGCAAATTATATCGTGCACCGCGGTGCATAATCGATTATGCACCGAGCTTCAAAATGACGTCGTTTTGTTTAATGAAAAGAAACAACACCCGTTTCGTGTCGTTCTGCAAAAAGTAACTCTGTTATTCAGTTTCATTTTGTATACACTGCAGTTTCAGTTCAACACAACTACAGTTTCATTTCAATATAACTACAGTTTCATTCGACATTTATACACTCAAATATGTGAAAATGTTATTTAATTTTATTTTACATACACTATAGTTTCATTAAAACACAATTACATGAGTGAATCCAAGTAGTGCTAAGTGGCGACAGCACTACCAACACCAATGTTAGAGATATTACGGGTGATAATAAATCATATTTAGGTTGAAATTAGTACCAGGTATACTTCCCTGGCATATGACCTTTGGCACATGGCACCCGAGCCTCAAAATCATTGCCCCAACATATTGTTGCCTGGATTGATTATAGGGTCAGCTATATGGAAGTGGTTATTGGTCAAGAGGTAGCCATAGACCCATTTATGCATGGAAGTGTCGAAACTTAATGGGATAACTTTATGGAGATAGTGGTTTTTAGAGAAGAACCGAATGGCCCTATCATCCCCATATTACCGGGTGCTGGAATTAACCTTGAAAGAGAGTTTTTTATTTTAAGAAAATCTCTTACACCGTTCAAAGGCGATTTTATTTCCTATCTTTATCCTTATTTTTTAAAAATAAATGACATCATTTACCCCTCCCAATTAAAACTCTTTTGATTTTTTCTTTCTCCTATTTAATTTTGGGAAAAAAAATATTTTATCGTTCAATTATAAGCTTTACTGTGACCACTTGAATTGTTACCAAATGAGCCTCATGAGGTTATTTATATTTATTCTACCTCCATAACGGACAGTGAAGATCTAATTGGTGGTATGACTATGATTATATCTCTAAAATCCACCATAAAATTCTATATAATCATATGAGAGTTTTATAATGTTTTATAAGATTCTATAAATCTTTTCAATCCAAAATGTTAAATTTTAATATGTAAACAATCATATTTAAATTTTATGAAGATGTACTTTTTAGTCTTTTTATATTTATAACTTATCAAAAAATTAATTTTACCAAACACTTTTAATATAATCAGCTAGTTTATTTAACAACTCTTCATTTTTCAGCTTCTAGCTTATAGCTTTTCAACTTTCAACTACTTTTCAGCTATGTTTGCCAAACATAGCCATTATTTTTTCAAGACCTTGGGTTTTTTTGTTATGTTATGCTATGTTTTGTTTTTTTTTTATTATTTTAAAAAAATGGACCTTATTATGATTTGTAGTGACTTTTGGTTATCAATCAAACTGTTAGCAATTTTCAGAATTTTTCTTTGACCAAATTAGTGATTATTATGTGAACTCGGATCCATCTTGCGAGGTGGACTCAGGTCCGAAATACACAATTTACATACTGAATGTTCACAATTTTGCAAAAGGTATATTGGCCCTGTTTGGTAAAAAAATTGGTCCATAGGCCAATTTTGACTTATTTTGACCACTATTAATTGTTTGATTTAGTTAAACTATCAATATAAATGTTTGGTTAATTAGCTTTTTGCAACTCCAAAAGGCTAAAATTCAAAAAGTTATTCCAAACAACTTTTTCAATTAGCTTTTTGAGAAAGGAAATTATACCAAAGAGCTATCAGCTAATAGCTAATTTACCAAACATTTTTCTACAATCAGCTAATGTTATCAACTATTTATACCCTCTAATTAACACAATCAGCTAACAGCTAACAGCCATTTTACCAAACAAGGCCATTGTGAACATTTAATTTATAATTTTTTTTATGTAAATTATAAAACATTTAAGATTGTAATATTCTTAGAATATACTAATAATAATAATTATAATAAGTATAATGATAATATTGACAATAAATATGTATTTGACAATAAGCATTTACGTTATAACATATAGTTATGCTATTTTGATGATAAATATTTTCGAACAAGCCAAGACAAATACAGATTAAGAGGGGAATATAGCAAATTAGCAGCAGCAATGAAAACAAATGAAAAGTATAGTGGCAGAAATGATAATCATAGTAAATTGAATTAATACTTTCAGCTAATGGTTGGCAAAGAGTAAGATTGCAGTTTTAAGAAAAGGTATTTATTTGACTTTCATTTTCTTATTAAGATGTTTTTGTCTCTTTTCATTAGGGTAGAGTGACAAAATTATTCAATTGTACCTTCATTATATAATTTAGGGAAAATCGCACTTTTGGTCCCTCAATTGTTTCCCAATCTGCAATGTGGTCCCTCACTGTTAATTTCATTCAATTGGGTCCTTCAAACCTTTAAATCGTAGTCGATTTAGTCCTCCGATCAAATTTCTCTCAAATCAGGGTTAAATCCATGGATAATTTGGTAATTTCACAACCCACTAAGATTTACTCTCAACAACACCCGGACGGCCTCGAACATGTCGAACAAGGTGGAGAAGTGGAAGATGGCCTCCCGGAACCGCGTCGTGAAGAATGGGGAGTTGTACGCGCCGTTGCCGACGCCGTGGATGAAGATGTCCGGGCGGATTTGTTTGATTAAACCTAGGACGATGTCGCGCGGGCTGTCGGAGACCACTGTCTCGTCTGGCACGTTCTCCAGATGGTACATGCAGTTCACGGCGAGAACTTCGTCCCTCTCGATCTCGAGATCTTCGAGTTTTATGGTTTCCCATCTCTTGGCTATGGCTTTGAACTCAAACGGGACGTTAAATTGCTCGCAGTATTTCTTTAACCTAGCTACGGTGGCCTCCACTCTCTCCGCCGGCTTGAACCCCGGCTGGGGGAGATTGATTCCGGTAATCCGGAGCTTGGGGGGGCCGCCAGGGCGGTTGGAGAGGCCTTGAATCATACACGGCCATTGGTAACCGTAGAGAACTCCGAAATCGATCACGTGCAGGGCGTGTTTTCCGGCCGCCATTTTCATGATGTAATGATTCACGTAAATATTTGAGATTTTCTTGAACTGGCTGGCTTTAATGTACATGTGGTAAGCTTTGAGGATATTCGCCGCCGAGATGTTGTTGGAGAATTGGAGGGTGAAGATCGCTGTGCCGGCACCGTTGAGCCGCGCCTCGAGCGCGTTGGCCAGGTAAAACGCCAGCTTCTCCTTTCCGTTGCCACGCGGAGAAGAGTGGTGTCTGATCTTCGCCAGAAGCTCCGTCATCGCCCGGCCGTCGTAGTTCTCCATAGCCTGCGCGCATTGAGTTAATAGGCCTCTCAGGTCCACCACTTCCTTCTGCGGTTCTCGTTTCTTGCGGGGGCGAGGAGGAGGAGGAGCCGCCGCGCCCTTGGATTCCTCGGGTTTCTTCCTGGGTTCTTGCGAGTTGCAGAGTAGAACTTCGTTGAGCTTCTCTAATGGCGGCTCTGTTTCGTCGTTGTAAGTTGCCAACTGCTTATTCCCCTGCTTCTCTGCAGATTCATCTTCCATGTTCGAGTAGTGATTTCTCCTCCCCTTTGGCGGTGAACGATCTGTCGGAGAATAAATGGATAAAATCAATTAAAATTAAAATAACTAGGAAATTGAGGGTAAATGGTTATGAAATTACCAAATTATCTATGAATTTAACCCTGGTTTGAGAGAAATTTGACCGGAGAACTAAATCGACTACGATTTAAAGGTTTGAATGACCCAATTGAATGAAATTGTCAATGAGGGACCACATTGCAGATTGAGGAACAATTGAGGGACCAAAAGTGTGATTTTCTCTATAATTTATATGGCACTGTTTGGTAAAATAGTTACCTTTTCAGTCAATTTTGGCTTATTTGATTAGTATTACTTGTTTGACTTAGTTAAAAAAAAAAAAAAAAAAAAAAAAAAAAAAAAAAAGAAAAAAGAAAGAAGAAAGAAGAAAGAAGGATCAAATATGCCCCTAATCTAGGAACTGGTTTACAATGATTATTTTCAACATTCAAGTATTACAAACAAACAAGAATAAAATGATGATTTTCAACATTCAAAAGAATTTGTAGAAGAAGATACACGCATGCATGCATGCATGCATTTGACCTCTCTCTCAGCTAACATTTTTCATCAAAAATAACTTTAAGATCATCCATCCATTCATTCCTGCACATAATATTGAAAGAAAAATAAAGAAGATAGAAAGAATTACAGCTATACTACTACTCAGTCGTCTCCTTTGTATCCTCCATCCATCCATGCCTTCTTCCTCTTGTTATCTATGAAACCTTGCATTTGCACTGCGAATTGTCACGCCGTGCAAGAATTTTGTGTACCCCACGAAGTTTAATTTCCCGTCCGCTCTTATCCAGTCCTCAGCCAGTCCTTGAGGAGAGCATAAGCCGTCGGCCCCAAGTTCTGTTCCTGCATAACCCAAATATATCAGTATCAGTCTCAGTGTTGAATCCAAGTGGTGCTAAGCTAGCTCCTAGGAATACCACTTACATGTGCCAATTCTTCTACAGAAATTACGCGGTTTCCTTCTCTGTCAAAGTTCTCGAAAGCTGCACTCGCTATCTCTCCCCAATTTTCAAGAGCTTCGAGGTGATATACACTGATTGCAGCAGCACAGAATTCTTCAAAGTCAATCTGTTTATAAACCATGGTTTCCAACAAATCAGCCGTCTCGTTATCACCTCCATTGCGGAAGTGTGAGATGGTTGTTGGCATAACATCCAATCCCCTAGCCTGTACAGTTCAGAATAATTGAGTTCTTGTATGCTATGTGCAACCAAAGATTGTTTAAAATAGAGCAAGATGGTATGATTGAACATTGTTAAACATAGCAAATATTCCAAACTCACAATCAATATGCTTCAAAAAGGTGAAAACCAAAATTTTATCAAACTATAAGGCAAGAGGAGATCTTGTACGTCATCTATGGAACATCAATGATGCCCATGGCTTTGCTGGAGATCCCGATGTCAGGATGGACTTGCTTCAGCATGCGCCTTGAAGATGTAGATCTTGTACGTCTACTTCTTCACCCTCTTCTTCTTATCTCCGGCCGCTGCGACTCCACCCTCCTTGGGGAGCTTCTTCTCGGCCTTGGGCTTCTTCTCCGCCCGACCTTTCTCTGCCGGATGCCATCTGCACTAGAGAGAATACAAAAATACAAAATTATTGAACACTATGCCAATCTAATCGGAATGCATCACAATGCACATTTATTTGATATAGTTTAAGTCATTAATCTTATGCAATCTTCACATGTGACTGACGGACTGAGTATGCGACATAGATACCACTTCAACCCATTAGACATATTGGTTGCACGACCGATACCTACCATAAACAATTAATGAAAAAAAAAAACCTCCAAAATTGTTTTTTTTTTTTCCCAAATAGATGATGGGAACAAGGATGTGAAAAAAACTCTATTTCTACCATTCACCGTTTTTCAATGAATTTCCGAGAGTATTTTCATTATCCGCAATTATAACATGTAAACATATTAGGATCCAAAGAAAAAGATTATCCAAATTCAACAAACATTTTGGATACAATAACTATAATCCAAAGAAAATATGCTAGCCGCCACTAAGCAAGCTATACAAATTATATGCCTGCCATATAATTTAATAAGAAGCTAGCTAATTAAGGGGAGGGGAGCAATCACAAGTTAAGGAATGGGAAAAACAGCCATAGAAATCCCTAGCTAGAAAGAAAGATATTGAAACTACTTTTTAACTACTACTTACTTTGACTTGTGCCGGCGGTTAGTTAGTGGTGGCACGGGTGTTGGCCACCGCTGATCAGTAATCCAATGGACAATCCCATTAGCACTTCCCTGCCCAGAAGGGACCCCCTCCCCAGAAGGATCAGTCCAATATATAGTACTCCCATCTATGTAGGAAAATCCTGTCTCTCTAATTTTAGAATCAAGATGAGGATGATCCAGGAGGGCCGGGTGAGGCAGACTTGTTTGGCAAAGCTTTTGCACCAAACTCCACTTCCCCATGTTGTAGTCCTCCAGCAACCATATATAATAGAAGGAACCATCAATATTCGACGAATGCTCTGTTACACAGAGACGATCCTGAAATAGTCCAAGGACTTGGGTGCGTCGCTCCTCCTCACTTGGGGTATCAATTACACGGCAAAATCTTTTAGGACAATTATAGGGATCATACACCAAAATAAATCCAGAAACCAGCCAATGTAGCATCCCTTTATAGGGGATAAGAGTTTGAGAAGAACGGTGTCGAATCCACTTCCTTATGGTCTGCGGTGATGAAATCACAAGACTTTTCCATTTACCTTCCTCAGACAAGAAAAGTTTAGCTTCGAAGTTGAACTGGGAATCGATGGTAGTAGGAATAGAAGAAATTCGAACCACCATAAAATTATAATTATTATTGTTATTGTCACCTACAATACATTGGGTGCTGCAAAGGGAACAGGGCGCAGGAACGCAAAGGAAGCCAGTGGAAACATTGAAAATTCTTCCATTTAATTGGAATTGGGGGACACGAGGAAGAGCAACCCAGTGCTTGGTTAGTGGATTACATACATAATGGATTTTGGGTTCGAAGTGGCTGGGGGAGGTGGAGCATAGAATTAAATCAGCCCACAAAGCAACCAAATTAATGCTGTTTTTGGGACAGGGAAGGAAACTAAAATCGGACCTGTGGAAGCCGCCGCCTGCAGCATCATCCCAGCAAACCATACTCAAATACCCAAAACAATTATAACGGAATATCAAGCAGCCAGACGATGAGGGATGAATTGGCGGAAGGGATAGGTGATGGCGGCGGTGATTGAAAAAAGTAATAAAATAGTGAGAAGAGATAAGAGAACACCAGCTCTTGCATACCAATTTCAATCGGATAGCTGCCCTGCTGCTGGGGAGCCTCGCCAGGATTTCAACTATCAAATCGATGGAGAGAGGATCTGAGAATTTCATCAACTTGGGGCGATCCATGTGCAGTTATGCCTATTCTCCCAAATCCAAACGCACTTTTTGGTGAGAGTTTGAGAGGGGCGGTTGTGATTCTGCTGTGTATTTATTATATACTTAGTCTGCAAAAACATACGCCAAATATTTATATATTTTTTAAAATAACTAACAAATCCTTATTAATTAAAATCTATGTCAAATCAAATTTATTTATTATAATAATTCAATATATAATGTCTACAAATATTATTATCATTAAAAAATATAATAAAATATATGACGGATGCATATGCATTGTAACAATAGATAACGGAAGTTATAATGATAATGGTGTTTTATTCTAAAAATTTACATAGTACAACTCTAAAAACACAATGTACAAAATGATTAGCATTAAAAACATAGACATGAATGGGGAATATAACTCTGATTGAGACTTATTATGTTTTTAGATTTTAGATTAGATTTATACTAGTTTTTTGCGCGATTGGAATAATGTCCAATATTTATTTTCAAATAAATATTTAAAGTATATCAAGACAATATTATATTGGAGTTTTTATAATTGAATGTTTAATTTGCTTAATACAATAGGTAATTCTAAATTTACAAGATAATATAGTCAATATTAATTATAATTGTCAATAAAATAATTGTATGAGTATAGTTGAAACCAAATATGGAAAATAAGAAAAATCAAATAAAGATTAAGGCATAAGATATTAAATATATACTAATATAATTTGAGGGGATTCTGACAGAAGGTTGAGTTTGATGGGGTGCTGGCAATATGGCATAGCGACAATTTGTTTATACAAATAATATTATAGAAATATGATAGGAGATGTACAAACATACTTGCAGAACTCTCATGTCTGATTAAAATAAGTCTTAACACAAAATTCTCCGTTGATGTTGTGTTGCATATATAATAATTTATGCTCGTACTTCTAATCAGTGGGCAATGACTTAGTGCCTTAATATATAGACTAATGGTGTAGTTATAATTTTATAAGGATTTGTGAGTTAGAGTTCTATTAAGACTTTAATATTCAAATTATATTAGTGATTCATGGTGTTGGATGAAGGAAAGTCTTTGTCTTCATAGCTGGAGACGAAGAAACCTGCCGGAGACCTTCTTCGTCTCAGTTCAGATTCTGTTTGTTTGTTTTTTTGTTTTTTTTTAAATAATTAATTTTTAAATTTTATTTTTTAAAAAATAATTAATTTGGGAGGGTAACCTGTTTACCTGTTGGAAACCTTCAAATTGAATAAATTATTTAAAATTGATTAATTTAGGGGTTCAACTATTGAATTTTTAGGTTCAGTGACCTAATTACATTATCGTATGAATTTGGATGACCTATTTTAACCTTATTCCATAACAATAATATAAAATTTATTCATGTTCATAAAATATGGAAATTTATTTGAAGAATTTTCTTATTGGGCTAAGAAGAGGCCCGTAATGCAGGCCCAACAGTCAGAGGGAGAGAGGGTAACGTCGCCGTTGGTGATCATATACCGGCTATCGGAGCTAAGCCTTTGGGCAAAAAGGTAAAATTTGCTCTTTCTCTGGGTTATATTTCTAAAAGTTCTAACCATGATTGGTTGTGAGCTGCAGTTGTGGGGAATAGTATTGAAGGAGTTTTTATGGTCTGTGAAGTATCAAAAAGTTTCATTCTTTTGTTTCAAACTATGAATTATGGTTTTACCAGTGGGTTCTGCTTAGGAATTATGCTACATTGCTTCTAAGATATCTTGTTGTATATCTCATTAATCATTTCCTGATCTCTTTGCTTTTGATTGTAATTTATGTAGTTACTTTTGGTGGGTATAACTTGGATTTTGAAAATATTTTTCAGAGTTTATATTCCATTAGGAATCTTAATGAAGGCAGAAATTGAAGTGAAACTGAACTAGGAACATATGATATGCTTCATTTATTACTATGAGCGAAATGGTTTTGCCACAGTGCTCATTTTCTTGCTCCTCAAAAGGGGAAATCCCTTCCATGAGGCCCCCAAGCCCTGGTTGTACAGGATTGTGATGGGTAAATCACGATAACTCAACATCCTTTAGATAAGAAGACAGAGTTCACCATATTGGGTATAACTCCTACACTGTGGCTGCCAGGCTCAAACCTGAGTCCTTGCCCCTCAATCTTGGTACGACATGAGGGGCAAGTGAACTACTCTTGCGGGCTAGTGCTCATTTTCTTCACTAGCTTGTTGCACTAAAAATAAAAATGTCTGGACTGCACTTCTGCATTCCCACTGTCCATATTTGATCCTTGGCATCCCCCAAGGGTTGACCTTTTATTCCTTGGGCAGCTTAATTGACAAAGAGGGCTTTTTTTTTTCTTTTTCTTTTTTTGGTTCTAACTCACTAGTGCCTTTAGTTTTCAGCGTGAACTTCTTGTAGTGTGGTGTTTCAGTGAAACCTGGTCCTGAAATTTTTATGCACAAGATTTTATAGCTACAATAAGATGATGCATTGTTGGTGGCAAGAGGGATGAGGATAAAAAATCTACCTTTTGATGTGAAGCTTGTGTACTGTTTACTGTCTTTTATTTACAGATGCTAGTGATTGGCACTCTATGGGTTGTCTGCTTTTAATGGCTGTTTTCAAAACAACTTGTCAGACCACATTTACCAAGCTATTTTATTTTTGAATCCAAAGCAAAGACATACCCACATAAACTCTGAAAATTATTTTCAAAATCCAAGTTATACCCACCAAAAGTAACTACATAAATTTCCCAAGTTATACCCACCAAAAGTAACTACATAAATTTCAATCCAAAGCAAAGAGATCAGGAAATGATTAATGAGATATACAACAAGGTATCTTAGAAGCAATGTAGCATAATTCCTAGCAGAAAACACTGGTAAAACCATAATTCATAGTTTGAAACAAAAGAATGAAACTTTTTGATACTTCAGACCATAAAAACTAAAAAGCATACTAATAAAATTCCTTCAACACTATTCCCCATAACTGCAGCTCACAACCAAAGGCTTAGCTCCGATAGCCGGTATATGATCACCAACGGCGACGTTATCCTCTCTCCCTCTCACTTTCTTCTTCCTCTTCTTTTCCCCCAATGTGAATAGTCAATAAAGTTGGGCCTGCATTACAGGCCTCTTCTTAGCCCAATAAGAAAATTTCTTCAAAATAAATTCCATATTTTATGAACATGAATAAATTTTATATTATTGTTATTGACTTTATATTTTTTGTAATGATGTACTTTTGTATTGGAGTATGTGATGGTTATCAGGTTATGTAATTTGTTTTTATTATTTGTATTATTCCATAAAATAAGTTTTATTTTTCTTTTTAAAGCCCTATAACAGTTTTCCAAACTTTTTTTAACAGCTTACATATTAAGTAGGATTTAAAAATGGTTTTAAGTCAAATTAGGCTTATTGTAAGCAAAAAATTGAACATACAAATGTGACCATGGTTCTGGTTCTAGATCGGTGGTTCATGGTTGTAGAAAATGACAAATCAGAATCGGAACCAGAACCTTTTAGAAAGGTTTTCGTTTCAGTTTGAGCTGTCCATTCGAAGTGAATTTTTATTTTTATTTTGTAAATTCTATTCTCAATTTTTAAAATAATTCAAACGCTGAATTAACTTTTTTTTTGAAATTTTTTCATTCCGAAATCTGTAAACAATGATTATATCAAATATTTAAATTTTAAAGTTAAAAGAAAAAAAAATCACCAAAAAAAAAACTTACTTGGAATTGTGCAAGCAGTTAGTGGTGGTACTGGTGTTGGCCACGATTGATGAGTAATCCAATGGACAATCCCATTAGCAACCCGCCACCCAGAAGAAGAAGAAGAATTGGTCCAATAAAAAACACTCCCATCTTTGCAGGAAAATCCTGTCTCTCTAATTTTAGGATCAAGATTAACTATAGGATCAAAATGAGGAAGATGATGAGGATCATTCGGGAAGGCCCGAAGATGGAGACTTGCTCTATTGGAAATCTTGTGCACCAGACTCCACTTCCCCATGTTGTAGTCCTCCAGCTCCCATATATAATATTCGGAAGGCCAAGCATGTGTTAAACGAAGACGATCCTGAAACACTCCAATGGTTTGGAACTTTCGCCACTGGTCCCGGGCTATAGCTGGGGTATCAATTACACGGCAAAATCTTTCAAGACAATTATAGGGATCATACACAAGAACAAACCCAGAAATCAGCCAATGTAGCATCCCTTTATAGGAGACAAGAGTTCGAGTAGAACGGACTTCAAACCTTACGACCCGCGGTGATGAAACCACAACAGTTTTCCATTCACCTTCCTCAGACGAAAAGAGTTGAACGAGGAATTTGAACGGTGAAAAGAATAAAGAAGTTGTTGGAACACAAATTCGAACCACCATAAAATTATTATTATTTTGACCTACAACACATTGGCTGCTGCTGCTGCAAAGGGAACAGGGCGCGTGAACGCAAAGGAAGCCAGTGGGAAACATGACATATCTTTCGGGTTCTAATTGGACTCGGGGGGCAGGAGGAAGAGCAGCCCATTGCTTGGTTAGCAGATTACAGACATAATAGAATATGGGTTGGAACAATCGGGAGTTAGAGGTCGAGGTGTAGCATAGAATTAAATCAGCACATGAAGCCGTGACTCTAATGCTGCTTTGGGGACAGGGAAGGAAACTGAAATCGGGCCTGTGGAAGTCGCCGCACAAATCATGGTATCCCCAGCGAACCATCGATAAACAGAGGCCAAATGCAGATTCGAATATAAAGCAGCCAGACGATGAGGGATGAATTGGGTCATGGCGGCGGTGATTGAAAACAGTAATAAAATAGTGAGAAGAGATAAGAGAAGACCATCTCTTGCATACCAATTTCAATTGGATAGCTGCTTTGCTGCTGGGGAGCCTCGCCAGGATTTCAACTAACAAATCGGAGGGAGGATCTGAAAATTTCATCAACTTGGCATCCTCACGGCCGGCAGGGACGGATCCAGAATTTATCTTCAGTGGGGTTGAAGAAACAAAGGGAAAATACATTCAAAAATGTTCAACCAATATATGCATAGTCTCATATTTAATTCTCATATTTAATTCC